AGCACTTGTAGAAACTGCTTTTTAATATGATATTGTGGTAACTGATTACATAAACCCTTCAAGTCAAGAAATGGTTTAGTCCCCCACATCATGATTAAACCATCTAGTGGAAATTGTGTTTATTTTGCTTATAGGTACATTTCTCTTTTCCCCCCTCATTCTGTGTGTGTGTCTTTATGTATGTTGTTACAGTAAGACATTTAATCAAGCCCTTTTGAAGTGGTAGAGTGGAAACAGCTGTTTCTGACAATGTGCCGATGACATGGGGCTTAAAGCTGTCATGAGCTCCAGATTGCAAACAGCACTAATATGTGGTTGGGATGGTAGTGACTTGCAGGTCACGGCACCTCCTTGAGGAATGCTTCTAAGCCAATCATCTCAAGGTGGTGGCTCAAAGTCTTAAGGCTCTGGTGAGCTCGCTTTCATTTAATACTCTTGAGGTCACACTTCAAAGTGCTCTTTCTTCTCAAAAGCCATTGGCCATATGTGGGCGTTCTAGAGCAGCTTTTTTAAGACTGATTGCTTCAGGTTCAGACTTAAAAAGTTAGAAATGCAGCTCTATTACAAAAATGATGTCTTAAAAGTTGAATAAAAGCTGAAGCTTAAGTCAACATCTCACATTCTTGAAAAGAATGCCAATTTAAAGAGAGCTTCTGGATGACTGATTTTTCCACAACAAAGCAAGCTTAAAGCTCACATTTTAGAGTGCCTAACAACTTGTTAAAACAATTCCCTTGTTTGTGAACATTACAATATGTAGGGCACTAAGAAATCATCTCTGAATACGGATTTTCTTCAGCAATACTCCCACTCAGAATAATTATTGTATATGTATATCTAAGAAACTTACACTTTCATTTCTTCATGCAACTGAATTTGTTAAAATTAGACTAGTATGATTAACATGCACTCAAGCCAACATTGCTAGAACAAACACATATGTGTTTCTCACTGAGAAGGCTCTAAAAAATGATTTTGTTTTGACCACAGTACAAGACACAATGCAACAACATGTTTTTTGGAAAGCATTCATAAAGATCAAAGGGCTAGGGAGCCTAATCTCTGTAGGTCACCTACAGAGTTGAAGGAAGAAAAAGTCCTGTAAGAAATTATTCATAGCAAATAAAAGTAGATTCATTTTCTGAACTGCTTCCTGGATTCCTCTCTCTCTCCTTGCCTGTCCAGGGGAAGTCAACTCTGTGAAGCCTATTTGGAAATTAATAGACATAACCTTGAGAATGCTTGCTTCTTTAGTAGTTTAAGATAAATCATTCCTGTCTCCACAGCAGTAGTGTGTTTTACAGAAAATAATGCTCTTCTGAAATTTGCCTGGAAACTACTTTCACAGAGGATAAATACACACCTACTGCAAATAAGACCAATCATGAACATGATAATACAGCCAAACTTTTTTTAATTTGCATCCAAGCTCCTTTTCAGCTGGTGCTGCTATTGTACCGAAGTGTTTTAATTCCTTTGCACTATGCAGAAAGAATGTGTATCCAAAAGCAAAGATGGCATTCAAGATATGGATACACATTTTAACACATCTCCGCTGTGTTCAGTTGTTCCTTTACTGAGTATATTTTTTCTTGCAGATACTTTATTCACTGTAATAAAGCTTGTCATGGAAAAAAATAAGTTGTATTTTCAGACCTCTCAGAATTAGTTCAATGATGAATGAATCACCTCCAGTATTCCAAAAATGAAATCTTTTTATGTTTGCTTTCTTAAAAACAATAGCTTGCAGGTTTCAGAGAAGTTACATTTTCTGTAACTGAATACTGTATTTCTGGCGATGTTTTTAGCCTCCTTAGTCACAACTTTTATAAAAATGGATTAGATGGAATGAGAAAGTGACTGAGACACACAGGCATATTGGTTGCTCACTGTTGTTCCCCAGTTCTAAGACACTGAAATAAAAGGGCTTGTCTAAGAGACAAATGTAGGAGTGGAGACTGATGTGTGGAAAAAACACTGAAATAGCCAAGTAGGTATCTCGGAAAGTCAGAACTCAGGTAGCCATTTAAACTGGACAAGGGTGCAGAAAAGCTCAGCAAAGCAGCTTCTGGATCTGAAGGACTTATAAATTAGGGAGCAGGTGAGTAAGTATTGTGTATGCAGTAGTGCTTCATTCCAAAAGCAACAGGAATGATCGAGAAACCAGAGAAAGAGATGTAAAAGGAAAACAGAGAGAATGCTGAGAACAAAACTCTGTCATGAAAGCTCAGTGAGCATAAAAATTCACTAACATTCATTAAAAGATTCATTTTATAGTATGACTAACGTCTTATTGCTGCTAAGGACTGTATTTTATCGCAGTGATATTAGAGAAATTATACAATATGTTATATTTGTAAAGACATGGATGTAAGAGAGTGGAAATCTGAGTTTTGTTTCAGACTGAGCTAGCTGGAAATCTCTCAGGAGCCAGACATGGGTCTAATTCTAAAGAATAACCATTAAATTTAGTTGTCTTGGCACAGTGAAAGGAAGCTGATAACAAAGAAATGGATCTTCAACCTAGGACATGAAGGAGAGATTGGGGAACCAAAGGGGAAAAAAGTCATACTGAAAATAAAAGCAGCGAGCCAGTTTACTTGGGATGCTGATCTGTAATTCACTAATATCAAAAGATACTGTCTCAATCACTAGAAGAGGGAAGATTTTTGTCTTTGAGCACTCAATTACTAGTAACAAGGCTGATCCATTGCAAGAATGAGATTTCAATGCTGCCACAGTATTCTCACCAAGAGGGAATTTGGGAACAGGCCTCCTAGCAGCTAACATTAAACAGGGTACACAAATATACATATAGATATGTGTCCATATACATGGACTGGTACGTATCTGTATATTACATCACATGAATACATCTACTGTTTTGAATTCTTTGTCAAGAAATGTTTCTAGATCATTAGTGATGGATTAAAAAAATAAAATTAAATCCTTCAGCACTACGTTTTGCTTCAGGATATTTCTTTAGCATCTTGACTCACATAACTTTGCTAATCCTTCATATTCATGAGACAGTGAGAGGATACATAGGCTATATCCAAAAGGACAAATTAGACTGTGGGCTTTTTCAAGATGTGAGGATAACTCCCACACAGCTCTAGTCTGGGCCATTGCAGTCTCTCAGACAGTACCTAGACACACTCTAAGCAGCTGGTTCAGTCAGTACTAGAGCACAGTCCTGGACACATTTAATTTATCAGTACAGATGCATCCATGAGGAAGAGGGTACATCAGTAATTTGCATTCCATTATATTGCTTAACACCAAGTAAGCCTCCTCAAGTGGCTTCTTTTTCTCCTGATCTGAAACTATTCTGGTAAATTTGAGAGTTAATAAGAGAGATATGTATGATTACTTCTGGTTTTGTTTACATTTTTGAGAAATGCCCTGTAAAGTCATCAGAAAGTTGATCCTGGCACTGAAAACTGAAACAATCTTCCCACTCTTCATCAGTAAAATATTTTTGAAACGCCTTGAACCATATGCATACCATGCTTAGCTAGAAAGTTAAACTATGATCTTGTACATAAAAGTGAAATTCTCTCTTAAAGAAAGTTGAACACCAGTACCTATTAGATTTTTGCTTATCCTAATAAAGTTAGAAGAAAGTTCCTATAATGAACTGTTTTGATAAACTTATCCTTCAAAAAGAATACTTTGGTCTCAGCATGTAAAACTTATCATCAGTAATTATAAACAGCTAACCTAGCCGTCAGTTACTTCCAAGGCTCCCTGAGAAACCTCACACTTATGATCATATTCATATATGGTTTACACAATAAAGTTATTTTGGAGTTTCTGAGAAATATTTTGAGCATACAGTCAATCACAGAAGAGGACTTGTACCAGTTTGCACACAGCTGAGGGAATTCTTTCAACTTTAAGGTATCCTCTCAAAAAACCAAAAAAACAACACAAAAAGTCTTACATCTGAAAGCATAAAGAATCACAAAGTCTATATTGTTATTTCACAAAGAATGAATTAGTATAATACATGGGTTTTTGAGAGCTGTTAAGAGACAAACTGTCATTTCATATGAATAAGCTATTTGTTTTGGTTTTTTTTGATTACATTTTGTTATCTTGTTTTGAGTCTTAGGTGGTGTTGCTTTTGATTCTTAGGTCTGAAAACTCTTCTGTTTTAAGTCTGTAGTTTTGATTTTTTTTTTTTTTTAACTGAATTTGCTAACATGTATCCTCAAATTTGGTACTAGAGACTTCTGTGACAGGAATTTTCCTGGATTTGATTTATTGCATAGGCAAAGTGGTATGTATTTAAAATAAATTCTGCCTCATTTATATCCACGATTTCCCCCCCCCGTTGTGAAGGTAATTGAAAAGAAATATAACATTGAATAAAAAATGGTAAGTAAAAAATATTTTTTTCCTTTGTTCCTGATGCAATAAAACTAGAAATGAGCTTCCCTTTTTAAAAAGCATCTGTCACTCCTACATACTTCTGCTTCAAAAAACAAGTACTTCTTTGCCAATATACAACTACTTTGGAGATAAACACCTCTGAGGCAAAACTATCTTTACGTTTGTTGAACAACGTTTGTCAGAAGTTCATGACAGAGGAAAAGGCATAAATGTATTATTTAAAATGCCTTAAACAGTGGATCACAGAGTAGCCTTTCAATCTCTTTTACTAGTGAAAATAGATGGAATTGGAAAAGCTTTCCAAATTTAACACATTTAAATGTAGATAAATAAATCTAAATCTAGAAGTCTTTTTTATGTATGTTAGCCAAGTAAGACTTATTGCTAGACCACTTCACTAAAGCAACTTGAAAGTATAGCAATTGGTTTGACAAATGAACAGCTTCATCTGACTACCCAATAATTAACCATTAAAAGAATATATATATAACGCAGGACAAGAGATCAAATGCTCCAGCAAGAAGTTCTGCTCAACAAAAAGGGTTCAGTACCATAGCACATTCATCAACCTAAGTAATGGATATCATTAAGAAGGTACTTACATTAGGTCTTAATCCTGCTGCCATTTCGTAATACTTCTCTGCTTCTTCATTAAGACTGGCTTGTCTATCAGGAGAGAAAAACCCAACAGTTACATCTCATTTTCCTTGGGTTAAAAAACCCCATACCTAAAGAAACAGATAAAACCAAAACATTGTAACTACCTTTCTGTTTAAGGGAAAATGCACAAAATATGTAAATCTAGAAGTTTTCTTATAGTTCAGATTGTCCATTAGCACAAATCTTCTTTGCCTACCTCATCTTCTGTTTTAGTTCTCGCATTATATTAGTGCACATTAGAAAGAAAAACAGAAAGCTGATCTTAGGCAAAAACAGAGACATATATCTTCACCAGAGGAAAATCTGGTTCATTTTTTGTAATCAGACATACTTTAAATTCAGAAACTGTAGATTATGCAACAATGCAGTTTCTCATTTTGTGCCTCCCCAAAACCACTATCATTCCAGTTAAAAAAAAAGGAAAAAAATCAGATAATACAAAGATTTCTGAAAACTAAATTTCCATGGTTGAGGGAATTCACTCAGAAAAGAGTTCCAATTTCAACATTTCCTCACATCATTCTGAGAGGGGATTTAAATTTTGATCTCCTGTCCCAGGAGAATATGATGAGTTTCTGGGTACCTGAAGCACTATCAGCTCAACCCTTTTTCTTCTCCTTACTAATACAGACAGCATCTACATGCTCCTAGTAGTTTATTTTTTATTTCTTCTCCTGAGTTTTTAGTTTAATATCGTCAAATGAAAATGCAATTTGTTGTCAAAGAAATCCCAACATATTTTTTCCTCAGCAGGCCCTTTTTATCTCTTCTCTCAAACTCCTCTCTTCTTCTTCTGTCTCCACCTTCTTAAATTTCCTCCAACTATTCATTTTATCTGCCATTCCAGTGAGTATCAGCTGATGACATACAAGTCATAAGAAAGATGGAAAATCTGTAAGAACAACCAGGCACAACTTTCAGGCAGGCTACATATCTTCTGCTAAAATTATTTCCTTTTTTCCTATGAAGAGCTAGGTCCTTTCATAGGAGAGTTAGGACAGGAGATCTTCAGCATATTTGTGTTTGCTATGTGATTATATAACACAGATGCATTTCTGTGACACAAAACTGAAAAATTAGAAAACAAGCATAACACCGAGTAGAGTTGGCCGTCTGATTTTCTTTTTCCTCTTTCTTCTGCTTTTGAGAACAGTTACCAATTCAAAGAGTATCAATCAACTGAACACTTGTGCCTGGAGATTTTACCTTCTTCATTACATGAGCCTTTACATGCTTAGTTATTTAGTAATCAAACTGTGTTCTAATTTTATGTTCCTATCCACCCAGATTTTAAACATTAGCCACTTAATACATGGTAGTCAATTAATCCCAATCAATACATTTTGACAGCTATTGGTCTTGGGAGGAGAAGGGGATAATCCCTTTGAAGTTTCTCACGTAATTCCTGTGCAAGCTGAAACCACTTCCTGAGTAACAATTGCTAAGTAGAACCTGGTTTATACCTGTTAACTGTTTTAAATTACTTTTCACATGTATCATTTACTCAGTGGTTGCAGTGGTCAGAAATGATTGAATGCCTAAAAATATTCATTCAACCTGCTTCTGAATCGCTCCTGCTGGGCATCAGTAGCACTTGAAATGACTGAAAAAAATAATCTCATACTTATGAATTTCAGGATTTACAACAAGGTGCTATAAAATGAAACATGTTACACAGCTTTTTTTTTTTTTCCCCCTGTTCATACAAAACTGTCAGGACACAAAGCACTTCTGAATGTGGTGAAATAACATACAATAAACAAGGTGCCTTACCCAGGAGGCAAATACAAATGGTACACTTCACCTCCAAAAAGTGTTGTTGGCATGTGAATGTGGAACACATTAAAATCCCTTTTAGCCCAGTGGAAATACATGGCTTGCTTTTCTCCCATGTGTACATCTTGGAACATGGATCATTAATTGCTAAGTTGAAATCAGTTTGAATGTATAGTTTTCCATTAAAAACAGTTTATAGAAATGCATGCACAACACAGTAATCTGGTCAGGAAAATGCCAGTTCAATTTCTAGGGCATTCAGCATCAGTTCCCTTATTTCAGATGCTTCAGAATTCTGGATCCCATTTTCACTGCAAATCTAAGCTAGAAATTCATTACATTAAGCCCTGAAATGGCTTTCCCTTGAGAAAAATTAAAGGCACAGAGGTAGGAAATTGCAGTAACCCTATGCCACTGAGCAGTAAAGAGCTCTGGATCAATGTCAAATAAGGGAAGGACACTACTAAAGGTAACGTAATTCACATTAGAGTAAAATATTAGATAAAATATTGATAATAAAATAGAAAGGAAGGAAAGGGAGCAAAGAGAAGTTCAGAAGACAGAGTCCTTTTCATAGTTATGAGATATATTTCAACCTCTATCCTAAATCTTTTCATGAGGACTTTGAAAACACTTCTGATTTCCCCTATTAGCACTAGCAGTCTATCTTGTTTTAAGGTACAAAAATGTTTTCTCGTTTTATTCTCTCATATCTCTTAACCTGAGCCTCCAGATCAACCAATTCCCTGTATTCAGTTCCAGCTGACTGATGGTGACACTTCATAAACGTGCTTTGACAGCATTAAATTTTAGATTTAATCTAAAACTTAGATTATCCTGACACCCAGTTTACATTCATTTTGAATCTTTATGTTGATCACTGGAAAAAAATATTGTTGTAAGAGAAAAACACCACCAGTGCTGACTGGTATAGATCCATAAACATGAGTGGGAAAGGGTTAGTTTTAACCTGCCTGTTGCTTGGTACAAGGCTTCAGACTGTTGATTATTTTTACAGTGAAATCATGGATGTCAGCCCAGCTACAAATAAAATATAGTTTTCTTCAGAGATTCTATTTTTAAATATTGCATGTTGGTACTTGGCATTCTTACTGGATTTTTCTGCGTCACAACAAAATCATAATCAGGTTTTATACCTCTTAACTCTTCACACACATTTTTTCTTTAAAAATTTTATATAGACTATATGCTTTGCCATACATACATATATATAATTAAGCACATAGACAGTAAATAAAGAATGAATATAAACTGTTGAGACAATAACAGAGGGTGAAGTTGTGCCTATGAGATTGTGTCAGCAACTACAGTCCATGTTCGATCAGTGTGTTCTGGAGAGCCAAAATACTCTTCCAGAAACCACTGAGAAACAAAGACCATGTCATGTAATATTGCCCTAATTTAGACTTGTTTTCAAACAGCCAACAAACATGGTGTTACTTCATGGAATAGGAGTTTCCCAGAATAACCCACTTACAGAAGTACAAAAAAACTAATTATTCCTACAAAATGTGCTTTTAAGAAAATAGGTCTTCTTCCTAAGTTTGTTTTCATGTGAAGACAACGTGAAGCTCTTTTCCTGTTCCTAATTAGCACAGCGGTGTCATCCCACTGCCATCCCTCATTCTAAAAATAATCCTCTCCTAGACCAGAGGAAATCTAGCTCATGGCAGCTCACCTAGTATAAAACTTAAAAAGTGAAACTTAGCACTTGTTACTACATGACTTATTCACTGAAGGTACAGCATTACAAACACATGCTTCACTGCATTTCACTAAAATGTATCTAGGTTTTCTGAAGGACTTTGAATTCCTGTAAGTAAGAGCATTGGAAATAGTACAGAAGTAAACCATGTGACCAGATACTGTTTTAAGAACCACCCAAAGAGCTGCATGACCCTTGAAGAAAGCTGTCTGGAAAACAAATTTGTTGAGATAATAAATTTTACAGGCAAGTATTATGCAAGTTAAAAGTTACCAGACTGTTGCAAAGAAATGAATTACATTCATCCCACATCTCACCCCTCTTACAGATGACTTGATTCATCTTGCATTGCATTATCAGGATGCTACAGAAGTCATTTATGGAAAAAAAATAACTATGTGCAATTAGGAGCAGGGAGGTCTCTCACTAATGGAAACAGAACTAACTCAGTTGTTAATTTTTTTACTTCAGATTCAGTCACAAAGAAGAAAGTAAGCAATGTTGGAATACCTGCCACGAGGAGCAGTTCTTGTGACTGCTAAACTGAGAACAGGCTATCTAAAAAGACAACTACTGTGTTTAGACCCAGTTAACAATTCTGTTGCAAATTTAAGAAAAAGAAGATTACCTTGCAGCATTCTAGTTCAAAATTTTCAAAAGTTGTAAATTTTTATTGAGGCTGTGTTTTAATTTAATTTCTTTTTTCTGAGAGAGTAAGGGAGTTAAAAAAAAGGGAAAATATTTTAGCACTAGAGTAGAAAACTAAACAGAATTTGAAGGAATATTGTGATTAGTTTCCATCCAAACCAGCTGTAAACCAAATTTGAAAGAAGTTGCATGTGATACTGAAGAAATGTCTTCATGTTTCTCAGTCTTGTGACACTCCTTAGGCTAATGGTGGAAACAGTAGTAAGAAATGAAAGAAAAATAATTCCTTCCTAATTCAAAAATACATCACTGGGTAGAATATTTGGTCTGAAAAAAAAATTTAGAATCTATACAAAAATCTAAGCTGCTGTTATTATCTTGCAGTCATTTTGGAAACCTTGCATCATTCACATTAGTATCAATTTCTGTCTCTTAATCCTCAACACATCTGTAAACTTTATCCCACCTTACGACCGCTGATTTGGAGGGGGGCACCTTTCAGGTCTTGGGTGTTACACCATTCTCTGCAGGTGTGATGCTCTCCCAACTGCCCCTCGAGCATGTGGCTCTATGAGCCCATAAGGAGCTCACACATGCCATGCTGAGGGACGGACGAAAGAGGAAGTTTATTTGGGGATGGGGGTTTATATGGCTTTCAGGGGGATTGAAAGGGAACCAATTACAGGGTCAAGGTACTACAGAAAAACCCAATCAGGTAAAGAGTTAATAGCCAATAGAAAGAGGTGAACAAAGGCCAATGAGAAGACCTGAGGATATCTTCCCAGGACATTCCTGCATAAGGGTCCTTTACAGGGGTGTGTCAGGAAGAAGACAGAGTAACTTTGCAAATACAGAAAAGCCATCTTAAGACCTGTTTAAACAACATTAAAAACTTCTGTTTCTATAACATTTGAGCTGTTTTCTTCTTTTCCTTCACCAGTCCATCTCTGACAGGACTTCTTCCATCCCATATAGGATAAATCCATTGCTACACCACCTTGCTCACCAGAGTCAATTCATTTTCATGCTCTGTGAACTTCTATAATGTGTTTTCTACCTCACAGCTGTGCAGTTCATTCAAAATTCTTACTCACTGGTCAGTGTTTATAGCTCTCTAGGGTACCTAAAGAGCAGTTGGTCACCTACATGAAACTATTTCAGCCTTTTATTTATGACTGCATTTAGCATTCACAGTTTCTAGCTGTGTCACTCTATGCCAGTTGGTTTATTCCCTTCTTTCCTTCCTCTTCTGTGTCTTGGTATCTGCTTTCCTCTAGGAATCACCTCAGCTCTCTGTTCTAAAGATCCTGAAAATCAGCTGCTTCTGAAGTCCTGCAGACTCACAATGCATTTGTAGCTGCTCTGTCCCAATGAATGAATACACATTGCCCTTGTACAACAAGTCTTACAGAAGCCATATATTTAAATCAATTGCTAAGTAGAGCAGTGAACAAGGACAGACAACAGACCCATAACCTTTCAGCAAAAATCAGTCAGATGCTAACACATGGGGTTTTTAAGCAAATGCTTAGCAGCACTGAATTTAACTTTGCCACCCTGCTCTTGCTAAATTCTCCAGACTATTTCAGACTCCCACAACGTATTAGGAAGACAATTACAAAGAGAGCTGAGCATGTAACTGAAAAATTAGACCAACTAGGTATCCCAAAGTAGCACAGTGGTTTCTAGCTAAACTAAAACAGGCCCTTTTTTTTTAAGGGTTTTGGTTTGGGGAGTTTTCTTTGTTTCTAAAGGTTTTGGCTTTTTGCTTATAGTAAAAATAGAGAATGCATATTAGAATCACTGAGCTCAATGCTGGTCAAGGCGCCACAAAAATAGTATACTCCCAATCAGATCAAGAAGGTTAAACATGGCTGGTTAATATGCAGTACAGCAGAATTGCTGTTACTTTTAAAAATAAAAAAGTACTCATATCCAGATGTAAACAAACATGCCTTCAAGACTTCGGATGCTTCACTCAGTGCTCACAGACAAAGTGAGGGATTTATTAAACCTATTTCCAAAACAGTATTGGAATCACACTACATCATCACATTTTAAAAAACACACAATGACACCATTTAAACTTATATTCCACAACACACTTGCTGCAATCAGGACTCTGAAACTCTCTATACCCCTCTGAATTCAGCTGCTTGCTATGCTTCTGTCTTCAAAATACTGAACTCTGTCTCAAGAGATACTATTCACAGAATAATCAGGGGGAAGGCAAGGATCCTTAAAATAGCTCATACAACTGAGTCAGGTCAAGCTGTTGTTTACCAGGGAATAATTTTTCTTGGTTTCCTTTCTAATCTACAAGCAGTAAGAGTTATTTTTCAAAAGATGTTTTGGAGCATATTTCAAAATCATGGTATAGAAACTGTAATTCTGAAACACGAGTCACTGAATTGCCTGAAGCCAATTCTACCATCTGTTTTATACCATTTTCCTTCTCTTTTATACAATTTTCCTTCCCTTTCATTTCATATTTAAAATGTTAAAAGTATAAACAGCCTAGTGAGATATCTTCATCAGAGAAATTATCTCAAGAACTGTTTTGTGCTAATGAAGTATATTTTTTTATTTCCTTTCTCATGCATTTTCTATGCTTAGATATCATCTAAATGAAATCAAGCATCCTTATAGCTGTTAAGCAGACAATTGACAATAATTGGATAGTTATCCTAGAAATAAGCATGGAGGATACCTACTAAAGTAATGTAAGTTTAATGATAATGTTAAGCTCACAGATAGAAGCTTAATGTTACTGAATAACCTGGTCTGTCAGCTTGAAAAGCTCAAAAAGAAGTCTAAAATTTAATTCTATTCAGATAGAACAGAATTAAATATGAGACTACATTTTAAATCACACATTCTGAGAGTACCACTTAGTGCTCCTATGAGCCTCAAAGTCATTATTAGCCTGAGAATATTTAGATTTCTAATTATCGTAGTGTTCCCTACTAACAGAAATTTGTAATGTTCTCTATTTATATCTAGAACAGAAATATGGTCTCATCTTTTCATACTAAATTTTTAAAAGTCAGGTGAAAGGAAATTCTGCAGAAGGTTCATCACAAAAGAAACACTTATTCTTCTATGCAAGCAAAATGGATCACATGCTTGTAAATGATAGAAGTTTTGAAGATAAGAAATTATGAGGTAATACCCAGAAAATTAGAAATGGAAAGTGCTAAATCCTGCAACAGTTTCATTCCAGTTCTTTGTATCTTATTAGCAATATTGAATTATTCAAAAGAGTTGCTGGGCTTTAAAAAGAATCCTGCATAAGCAAAGGTTATAAATACTTTTTTCCTCCAAAATAAGAGAGAAAAATCAAGTAAGGCAGATGTAAAAGCACTAACCTGAGCATATGGGCTGCATTGAAAACAACATCAAATTCCATATTATCGAGTTCAGCTGCTTTTTTTGCCATTTCAGCTGCTTCTATCAGGCGGGATTCTTCAAGGAGGAACTGACCTGCAATGGAGTGCATGAACGTGAACCCAGAGATAATAACTGATATAATATACTTCAGACAGTACAGTTAGGAAAAGGAATTACAAAAAAAACCCCAGCAAACCAACAAACCAACCAACAAACAGTTGTCTCAGATTCAATATTATTTTTTGATTTGCTCTGTATTTCAGTATCCTTAAAATATAGTCAATGTAGAAAAAAATGCAATAAATATGACAGGTAATAACCATATTTGTGGAACATACTTAAGAAAAGTGAGAATAATAGACTAAAACTCAGCCATCAAGAAACAGTACTTCCAACCCCCAAGAAGCCTGCCATTTGACAACTTGTCCTTCTGCCTATACACTGATCTTCACTTCCTCAGGACAAATTGAAATAAATAACATCTACAAATGAAATACACTTCAAATTTTAACTGAAGTACAGTAGTTTCAAAACAAAACATATAAGATACAGTAGAACTCTACAAAAATTACTTTTCCTTTGATGAAGATGAAAAAGAAATTTGGAAGGTACTCAAGCAACCTTATTTTCTGTTCTTTTAAATGATTTTTTCACTCCTAATCCATAAATACATTATTTTTGCAAAAACTTTTAAAAATATTTCAGCCATCTAGACTCTGTGTCTACATAACTTTATGTCTGGAAAAGCTATACTCAAGGATGATGATTATAGATTCCATCATCCCATCCTTCCCTTTTTAATTTATTTCGTAAAGTTAGATCACTCAATCAAAAATTGTCCACCATGCCATCGCTGACCACTAGCCTCTTCAGAAACAATATGCCATGAGCAAATGATTTCCTCTCATGGTGAGGGATTTTCTTTTTTTTTTCTTTCCTCCTTTCCTCATGCATTCCCTGTTGCTCACATGCTTGCTATATGCTTATGCAAAAAAATCTAGTTAGCCAGAGCTAGCAAAGTCTGAACAAGCCTAGTGAGTCCGGTGATGCTTTGGTACAACAAAGATATTCGCAGAAGGAATAATCTCAAGACAAAAACCAATGAAAGACAGCTTTCTTAGCTTTTTGTTTTCTCTGTGGATACATTTCAGCTTAGGAGAGATGGAAGATTATTTAGTCAGACTCCTACATCTTAATTATTCAGATCTGCAAAACTCTTGTAAAAACCTTCTTGCATTCACAGTATAAGGTTTGCTTGCTTTAATTACATCCACACTCTAATACATGCTATACTTTGATGCAGTACGAGGCTTTGTGCTTACCGTGCCCAGAAACAGATGATTTACAAAAAAGTTTTCTCACACAGAACAATAAGTAAATAAATAAATAAAAAGAGAGGAAAAACATAAAAGAAAACAGTTTGAGAATAGTTTGGACCACAGGAAATTAATTTGTCTTCAGAATTAGAAATCAGAGGTTGAACCATTAATGGAACTCTTTTATGAAGGGATAACAAATACTTACAAAAGCTGTATATTTGCTTCCTTTTTTTTTCTTTTTTTTTTTCCTTTATTTTTCCTCCCTTTTGGGTACAACAACAGGGTATGCCTTATACGTAGTAGGACAAATTCAGATTTGAATCTGAAAATTCTCCAAGTAAATCTACCAACTACAATAGGCAGTTCATATCTCTTGTTTTGGGCTGAATTCCTATTTTCTTTAAAGAGAAATCTTTGAAACAACCTTGACCAACCAGTATTCCAATTGTCTTCCAACAAATGAAGTAAAGCAGTATCCCTAATCTTTAGGTCCATGTTAAAGTGAACCAGCCATAAATTGTTAACATTAAGGTTGTTTTGTTAATGAAAGTTCTGAATTAGCAGAATGAAACACTGGTAACTGCATGTACTATTAATAGATCCAGCATGGAGGGAAAAGGACAACATAAGCTTTTATATTTCAAGACAGTGAACATTCAGGAGCATTTTCAAATAAATATATACTTAATTTAGGACAAATTTTTTGCACCTTATAATTTAAAAATAATGTCAACTGCTCATTAAAAAATTAATTACATAAGGAGAATAAACCTCTCCTTATTATTGTCAATTAAAAAATTATTCAAAGGGTTTTAGAGGCAGAACTTTAGAAATATATGTCTTGTTTTCTGTATGGAAGTTTTAACACTGAAGCTCAGCAGTGACATTACCTTACGTAAATTTATAACTACCCCTTATGTAATTTAACAATTTATTTTATATATTTATATAGTTATATATTTAAATATTTATATTCATTTAGTAATTTATAACTACCCTTATTTAATTAAATGTAATTGATACATTCTACTTCATGTGATATAATCAAAATTTTTTTTTACTTTAGATTCATTTTATTAAACAGTAAAATGCTTGCACTTCATCCATGTAATTTCTAAAAACAAAACATTATTGAAAACCAATTCAAACCAACACTAATGGCTTACTAGTACTATTAAGCAATAAATCAGGTTAAATTCTTAGCTCTTTAAGAGGTCAATAAGATCAACATATACCAAAGATATTTCTACTACAAGGTATTTAAAAAGTGTCTCTATAACAGGATTAGTATTTTATATGACATATTAAAGGATTATCTTTATTAAAGGACTATGGAAGTTAACTAAAACAAATTGCAAGTACTGAATATTCTATGATTCCATGAGGGGAACAATCCTTAACTGCCTTAATCATTGCCTGAGTAGATGTGATTTCATCAGCAGCTGCTGATCAAGTGTTTCCCTGTTTGGATGGGCAATAAGTATAATTGACCGCAACCTTCTCAATCTAGTGGAACAGTAAATACCTGAGCGTACAGGTGCATGGTGGGTTGGCCCCTTCCAAGCACTCACGCCCCTGCTCTTGCCCACCCACTCCAGCAGGGTGGTGGGAAAAAACAAGAAGAATAAAAGTAAGACAATTTGTGCATCAAGATAAAGACAGTTTAATGTGTAAAAGAAAAAAAGAGAGAAAAAAAAACCTCACCAAACAGCAAAGTGAAGAAAATTACTTGCCACTTCTCACATGTAGACTGATGCCTAGCCAGTCTCCAAACGAAGAGCCACCTCAGAAGCCAAAATCTTCTTCTTTCTCTACTCCAGTTTTTATTGCTGAACATGATGTTATATGGTCTGTTATATCTATCCCTTTGGCCAGCTCAGGTCAGCTGTCCAAGCTGTGTCCCCTTCCAATCACCTGCCCATCCACAGTCTACTCTCTGTTGGGGCAGACTAATAAAAAGAGAAGTCCTTGACCTTGCTCAAGAACTATTCAGCAACAGCCAAAGCATTGCTGTGTTATCAAGGCTATTTTAGTCACAAATCCAAAACACAGCATCATCCAGGCTGCTATAAAACGCTGTCCAAGCCAGACCCAGTAAAAGGCGGTTGAGAATTGATTTGCCAAGTTCTCCTTAAAGGCATACTAATTTTATTCACACAGCTCAATTTAATTTAAAGCACCTAAGTAGAGAGATACCATTTTGAAAACATTAGCTGCCATTCCTTTTATTATGATATACTAAATTCATACAAGGATGAACTGGATTGGCACTTTACTGCTGCACTTTCTTCATTAAAATGTAGACTTCTGAACTTTTCCTGTCAAACCCATAAAGATATGTTTTCCCAAAAGAAGGGCACTAGCAGGGTGCCAAGGTGTTGAAGGTGGATCAGAATGTATGATCCACAAGCCCCAAGAACCACTTGTGTAGGTCTAAATTTATGTGTAGGATTTTCTCCTCTGACAGGCAGCTGGAAAACCTCATGTTCTGTGAGACACTGCCCAACACCACCTTTCTTATTGCAGGTGTCATGATTCTAACTCTTGCCAACAACATAAATTATGGTTGCCTGATTGTTTTTTGGAATCAGATCCAGCTTTTGAGAAAACAGCCTTCTAGAAGTTCTTAATCCCACATTTTCCTTCTTCAAGGAAAGCATATTTTTCATTACTATTCTTCTAATCTGGAAGTGGGAAATCCATAGTCCACCTTCTGATGTGACTTTGAGCAACACTTTGCCTGGAACATTACTTTTTTAATAGAATTTTCCACCTTTCTTGCTAGCCAGCACTGAGTTGAGTGTAAATGCGCAGTCAATAGTTTTTAAAGACTTTTGACAGCAGAGAACTGATTCAATACTTCACGATCCTCTTTGTTAGTTTTGCCTAAACTATCCGGCAATCAGAAATAGCATTAAAGTTGCCGAATTCTGTACCTGCAGCCTTGTTCAAACTTAGTTTTTCTTGCACATCATCAACAGTGTTTTATGACTCCCTATTTGACCAAAAGTTTTTGGGGCAATATATGCAATCCACTGAAAAGTAAGATAAAAGTGTGTATTTAATTTAAACAACAACAACAAAATTCTAGTTCCTAGCATTGAAAAGGACAACTTGTTTTCATTTTTTATCAATTTTTAAACAAATATTTATCCAAAGAAATGAAAGTATACAACTCTCTATCATCTATAATTGTCTTTCTAAAATGATCACAAACGTTTGTAAAGAGGCACCATGAACAATTTAAAAGCCATACATCTGAACTGGTAGAAAGGTATTAATTGGTTGGGATATGTCTATGTGTAGTAATCTCTTATGTTCAGAGCACAAAGGCATTAGTGTGTTCCTCTAGAATGGGCTTAACTATTCCTTGTAGGCATTATGAACTTTTATTTTACTAGATAAAAGTGCAATTTGCTTATTTTACTAGATAACAGTGCAATTTGCACCAATCTTTCTTTAGTTGAAATGTTCTCTTTTTCACTCACTGGTAAATATTCAAAGGTACTTTGTCCCAGAACAGAGTAGATTTCTGAAATAGCTCATCTTGTTGCTATTGCTTTTGAAATGAACCATCTTGAATATTCTCAGAATACCATTGGTTCTGCACTTACTCATATTTCAATGACTTAGACTAGTGTGCTGATATCTTTAGTAATCCAAGCAAAGCTGAGTAAACTGTCTTCTGAATAAGAATGTAAAAACTTCGAATAGTATCGTAATAGGAATTTGCTTCTTTTAATATACATTTGTCACCATGTCTTCTGCTTCTTA